TTGAGGACAGTCCCGGTTTGGGTGAAGGCCAAGAGGACCTTGCTGGAGGACGAAGTGGTTACCGCTGCATCTTACCTCGAGGGTAAGGCAGCCAAATGGTTAGATGGTGTAGTTGTAAAGGCCGGGTACGGGCGACGCATGGCGGACTGGGCTAAGTCTTTAACGTTAGACCAGTTCATGGAGATGGTAGAAGCTCGATGGCATAATCCACAGGAGGCACAAAGAGCCACTGATGCGATTAACAAGTTAGACCAACGAAAATTCAAGTCGGTTAGAGAGCTTACGACTACCGTTGAGAGCCTGATCCTCGTTCCAGACATCAACTATAGTGACCAGTTCCTGTTAACTACGTTTGTTAGATGTCTTCCATAGAACATCAGGAACTTGCTGGCCAGTGAGGCACGCGTCGAGTACCATTCGTTTGAGACATTGTCTAGGAAAGCCTTAGATTTGGAGGCCACTCTAGGCAATGCTCAACCCTCTCAGAGTGACACTAAGAAGAAGAAGAGTCCTCAGGAGTGGAAGAAGAAGGGGGCGAAGTTGATGATGGTTGAGTTCGATGGGACTAAAACGGAAATCGATGAGCTCACTGACCTGATGGACTACTCAGAGTACGACGGCGAGGAGACCGCTGAGGGTAGCACCCTCGCCGCAGTTGTAAAGGTTAAGGCAGGTGGCTGAGGGAAGGGCCAACCAAGGAGTCAAGGGAAGACCGCCTCCAATCAGACCAAGCAGGCTGATTGGGTGAAGGCAGGTCTTGATCAAGACGTGTGGCGTGCCCGCCGAGTGCGTGGCGCTTGTATCAACTGTGGGGAATACGGTCACTCGCAGTACAAGTGCCAGAACGCAAAGGTTACGCAAAAGATACCTCCAAAGATGGGGGCATCTTATTCCCAGGCTTCTAGCTCGGGAAACGCGTGAGGCTAGTGGAAGTTTTAGCTGCTTCTACTCAAGATGAAGTGGGCCTGATACCCTCCCCACTTCATGAGAAGGCCCAAGCTAATGACTCTTTAGTCACCCCGCAGACTCATCTAGACCAAACTATGCTCTGTAAGTTAGATGTGTCTGAAGCCTTAGAAGAGTTGGAGAGTGAGTGGTCAAACAAGGACCCTCGCGAGTCTTGGGTGGCGCTAAGGAAAGGTCCTAGAGGGGAACATTTCGTGGTGGAAGTTGATGTAGGAGGCCGCAAATGTGGTGCCTTCATAGACATAGGCTCCACGCGGAATTACATAAGTCGCGACTGTTTGGAAAGGCTGCACCTACAGGACCGGGTACGGCACCTTAGTAGACCTGTAGCATCTACTTTGGCCAACAAGGAGCACATGATAGTAACAGACTATATCAAGGACGTAGTCTGTACCTTCTCCTATGGAGGAGGAGAGCTTAACCATAAGATTTTGTTTTTGGTTAGCGACGACTTACCATTCGACATGTTGTTAGGCATGTACTACCTCGAAGTTGCTAAGCCCCAGTTTGACTGGGATAAGAAGGTGCTCAAGCATAAGTTGCCCGATGGCCGAACTGTCAGATTGACTAAGTTCAAGGCCAGTAGCATAATAGATACCTATGGTTGCTTGTGTGCATCAGCGTTCTACAATTACTACAAGCAAAACCAAGAGGAAGGTATGTACCTTGTGTATGTCTCTGAGAAAGGGGAGGCCGTTAAAACACCCCCAGAGATAGAACGCGTCGTTGCTAAGTTCCCTGATCTGTTCGAAGAGCCCACATGAGTTGTTGAAAGGGAGGTTGTCCACGCTATAGAAATCATTCGAGGGAGTAAGACCCCAAAGGGAAGTATAGGATGGCTCCCGCCGAGTTAGATGAACTTCGGCGACAGCTTAAGGAGCTGACAGAGAAGGGATGGATTCGGCCTAATGCTTCCCCTTACGGATCACCCGTTCTATGCGTACCGAAGAAGGGGGGTACTTTGAGGATGTGCATTGACTATAGAGGCCTCAATGCCATCACAGTGAAGAACGCAGAGCCTCCACCTCGCATAGACGACCTATTGGATAGGGTGCAGGGATGCAAGTACTATAGTAAGATAGACTTGAAATCCGGATATCATTAGATCGCAATAAGACCCGAGGACCAACACAAGACAACCTTTCAGACCAGATACGGGTTGTATGAGTTTGTAGTGATGCCCTTTGGTCTTTGCAATGCGCCGGGTACATTCCAGCACGCTATGAATCGGATCTTCCATGACCATTTAGATAAGTTTGTCGTGGTATACCTTGACGACATTCTGATCTTTAGCAAGTCTGCCGAGGAGCATGCAAAGCACGTTGAGACTGTACTCTCACTCCTGCGACAACACAAGTATAAGGTCAACTTAGAGAAGTGTGAGTTCGGTCGCACTAAGATACTATACTTGGGTCATGAAGTATCCGCGGAAGGGATTAGGCCGGAGGATGCGAAGGTGGCTAGTATTCGAGACTGGCCACGACCTCAGACTGTCACTGAGGTCAAATCTTTCTTAGGAATGTGCAGCTACTATAGGAACTTCGTAAAGAACTATTCTACAGTCGCCTCTCCTTTGACTGATCTAACTCGACTTAACACGCCGTGGGACTGGAGTGATGAGTGCGAGGGTGCTTTCAGGAGATTGAAGCATGCACTCATGAATCATGAGGTTCTCATGGTTCCCGATCCTCAGAAGCCATTCATAGTGACCACTGACGCAAGCCAATACGGCATTGGCGCAGTGCTGGCTCAACAGGATGGGAAGAAGTTGAGACCGATTGAGTACATGAGCAAGAAGATGCCATCGAAAAAGTTGGCAAAGTCCATCTACGAAAGGGAACTTTATGCTATATGCAAAGCACTTGTCCATTGGAGACACTTCCTATTGGGAAGGTTCTTCTATTTGAGGACTGGTCATCAGACCCTCAAATGGATTAAGACTCAACCGGCTCTTTCTGACGCACTCAAGCGATGGATTGAGGTCATAGACCAATATGACTTCAAGCTTGAGTATCTAAAGGGAGAGTATAACAAGGTTGCTGATGCGCTATCACGTAGAGCAGATTACCTAGGTGCGCTAGTTTCTGACTTTGGCTTCAGTAACTCTATCATTGGTGGGAGCCTATCGGGAAGACCCTGTCACGATGGACATCATGCGCAAACTTCACGCAAAAGACAAGGCCACGGAAAGGGAGTTTGTGATGGTGGACGGGTTACTCTATCTTGATAAGGCCGGAATAAAAAGATTAGTAGTTCCATCTAGTGAGCGATTGCGTAGTTTGTTTTTAGGCGAATGCCATGACGCAACTGGGCACTTTGGCTATAAGAAGACGAGTGCTAACCTAGTACAGCGATTTTGGTGGCCAGGAATGTTGGATGACGCAAAGAAGTACGTAGAGACCTGTCAGGTCTGTCAGCGGGACAAGCCGCGAACTCAAGCACCGCTTGGGTTGTTGAAGCCTTTGCCTATTCCTGCTGGTCCAGGACAGAGTGTTTCCATGGATTTCATGGACACCCTAGTGACTAGTAAGAGTAGCAAGAGGCACATCTTCGTCATCATCGATCGATTCACCAAGTACGCTAGACTAGTGGCTATGCCAGAGACCGCAAGAACTGACTATGTCATCAAGTTGTTCAAAGACAACTGGGTGCGTGACTTTGGTTTACCAAAGTCAATCGTTAATGACCGAGATGTCCGATTCACAAGTGAGTTGTGGAAGAAGACTGCAGAACAGATGGGCAGTCAACTTCAGATGACTTTAGGGAATCATCCCGAAGCCAACGGACAAGCCGAACAAATGAACAGAGTTGTACAGCACTTGCTGAGGCATTACATCAAGCCCAACCAGGATGACTGGGATGAGCAGTTGCCTCTCATCGCCAACCTGTACAACAATGCTGTCCACAGCAGTACCGGCGTTAGTCCTAATCAACTTCACTTGGGATGGAAGCCTAGATCAGCATTAGACTTCCTCCTACCTGAAAACCGACCCGCTGCAACTCCTGACAAACTTGAGTATGGTGTGCAATATGAGAAGTTGTTGCAAGAAGCCGTCGAGCACATGAAAAAAGCTCAACAAGCAATGATTGCTTCTGAGAATCGACACCGTAGACAGTCCACATTTCAGGTAGGGGAACGTGTCTGGGTCAAGGCTAGTGAGTTAGGACAGGAATTCGGAATCTCACGCAAACTAATGCCTCAGTACTTTGGTCCCTGGGAAGTCCTGGATATAGTTGGAGATGAGATGGATGGCCCCACATATGTCATTCGTGTCCCTGGACACCTACGCACTCACCCAGTCTTCCATGCCTCAAAGCTTGCACCTTTCGCTGAGACAGATCAATTCCCTTCCAGGAGATCGATGCTGCCCCCAACCATGGATGGTCAAGTGGACATCGACGATATTGTGGATCACAAGGATATGCCTGTTCCGAAGCCGTTGGGTCGAGGAAGATCTCCTAAACCCAAGAGAGAGTATCACGTCAGATTCAGGCATCATACGGATCCAAAAGAAGATCGGTGGTTTACCAGAGAGGAACTGATTGAGACAGCTCCTCAGGTGGTGGCAGAATATGAGAGACTGCTGAAAGGGAAGGCACCTGCGAAGCAAGCATCTCAGCGGACTTTCGAAGCTAAGGTGGATGGAATGTGAGGATTGAGCCCTCAAGAAGGGGCCTTGCCATGATGTACATGTTCTGGGCTAAGGCCCCAACAAGCCTCGTGCCCGCCCTAAGTGAAGGCGGGCCAACAAATCAACAAGAGCCCTCTATGCAAACATTTCACGAAGTGGGGTCCAAACAGTTGCAGCACGCCAGTTGGTTGGGGTGCACCGAGTCTCGGATCTCTGCAAATGCGGAAATCCCAGGGCCTGTGAATTGGTTAGG